CAAAGAAGTGTTCACATAACTAAGAATGTTCTCCATTTTTTTGGGTTTGAACACTTCTGTTGTTGAGGCTATTATGTTGTTTTAATATTTTCATCTAAAACTTTGAGCTGTTGCCTTTTGTTGCAACCTTGCTGTTAGACTTAATTTCTTTCTTCTTTTTGCTTAATGATTTAATGGTTTGACTACCATTTATAGTCTATGTGATGGAGATTTAGTCACTAGTGACATAATTGTCCGAGTGTTAATACCCTTCTTTCGAAAGCAAAAGGTCTAGGGTTGTAGTCATATGGCACATAGGCATGGTGGGTGGAGGTGTAGGGTGGGTTTAAATCCCATTGTACAATTGAAAATCTAAAATCAAAGATTTCAAGGGTTCATTTGGCATTAGCTATGAAATCATTTCTAAACTATCAACTTGCATTCTTAGTGTGATAGTTTGAGTTAAAGAAAATTAAGAAAAAGTTCTGTTTGTTTGTTTATTTCGTAGGGCAGGCAATTTGAAGAAATAAAAATTTTGTAGGATGAGTAGTGGCACATAAAAGAGAGTGAAATTGTTAACAACTTTTAGAAGGGCAAATGAGAAAAAAAAAAGTGTTTGAGATTAAAGTTTAAATTTCATCTGATAAAAATTTTGAAATAGTAAATTAAAAAAAATGTTTATAAATTATTTTTATTAAATTTAATTAGAACTAAACAAAATCACGTTGATCAAAAAGTAAATTGTTTAATAATTATTCAACAATAAATACATCTAGAAAGGTTATACATAATTATTTGTATTGTTAATAATGGTTAAGAAAGAAAAACAACCAATACATTTTTTTTTTTTTTAGTTTTAAAGGATTTGACTATTTTATTTTTCTGAAACAGATAATATTATTCTTGTTTCAACATCTAATCAATGCTTTTCCATCAAAGGTTACACTAGTTGTTATACTCCAAATTAATCTTGAGGACTTTTTAGTGCTACATGTTTAGAACTTAATTATAGTGACAATCTAGACAATTGCATTAATGATTCTCTAATGAAATATCTACTTGAGGTTCTTGGTAGCATATTCAAGATTAAAATTGTAACTGATAAATGTTGTGAGGAGCTCAGAGCATTGGGTCAAATTTAATATACTGCATTTGTACTGAACTCTCTTCAAAATAAGAATCCATCAGTGATTTTGACAAAGAGCAAGCATGTGTGGAACAAGTGTGCTTTAGTTTCACCAATTCCTTCTCCTATTTAAATTTAAAAATTAGTTGTTACTAATCAAATGTTGTAAAAGTTACCTTTATGAAATCAATAATATAGCTTTAAATAACATGATTTGGTCAATAAAATTAAAAGGGTAACTATTTAAGTTTGACGTTAAAGACATTAATAGAAAAAATTAGTAAGAAATTGTCAATTGTTCCTTAATTTTTCAAATTTTTACTTATTACAATACTACTTCATATCAAACAATATAAATAATCATATCTTAGTTGTTTGTGAGCTACAACTTCATAGCTTATTTGCAGCAAGGAAGTGTTCATAAAGGTAAGAGTATTCTCCTTTTTTTTTTTTTTTGAGTATTTCTTTTATTAAGGCTAATATGTTGTTTTAATATGTTATTGAGGCCAGAACCATTCCACCAACCCAACACCTTAAACCAAGGCTCAGTGCATCCTAATTACCCTAATTCCTAACACCATAAAGAATTGAATATCTTGCAATCCAACTTCAAAGGTAATTACCTTAACTAACACGTTAATAGTTTAGGGATAATACATTATTGTGTCAACATTAATCTATGTGAGACACATAATCAACTCCATTTGCCTTCTAGGATGCTAAGTGAGTGAACGGTATAAACATGGGCTAGGAAGAAATGGAATTGTATTATGGAAAGTGGGTCTTGTCTTTATATGCAAAAAACAAAAGTATAGGAGAAGAGGAAGGTTTTGGAAATAAAAAAGCTATTTAGACCATTGATATTCCCAATAACTTTTTCAGATCATAAAACAATCTGGATAAAGTGGCAAAAACCCTTAACCTCTACTAACATCTTAAACTAGGGCTCAATACATCCTAATTACCTTGAATCCAACTACCAAAAACCGTTGAATATCAAGAAACTCAACTTCAAAGTTAGTTACTTTTAACTAACGTGTTAATGATTTAGGGATAATATGTTGTTGTGTTACCATTAACCATTGTGAGACATGTAATTGACTATGTTCACCTCTTGGGACCTTAAGTAGGCAAACCGCATAAACCAAGACTAGGAAGAAATAGAATCGTATTACAAGAAGTGGGTATTGTCCTTAAATGCAAGAAAGAAAAGTATTGTAGGAAAGGGAGGTTCTAGAAATGAACAAGCTATTCAAACCATTGACAATCCCAATAACTTTTAGACCACTAATACTGTCGATAAAATTGCCAGAACCCTTAACCTTGCCTAACATCTTAAACCATGGCTTTATGCATCCCAATTACCCTGAATCCCACGAATAGAAATCATTGAATACCATACAACTCAACTTCAAAGCTAGTTACTTTTAACTAATGTGTTAATGGTTTATAAATAATATATTGTTGCATTATCATTAACCAATGTTAGACATATAATTGACTCCATTCACCCTTTTGGACCTTAAGCAAGTGAACGACATAAACCAGGATTTAGAAGATATAAAATTGTCTTACAAGAAGTGGGCCTTGTTCTTAGATGCAAAAAAAAAAAAAAAGTGTAGCAGTAAAGGAAGGTTCTAGAAATGATCTAGGCAGACTATTGACCATGCCAATAACTTTTTTAAACCATTAAACAGTCTAGACGAAGTGGCTAGAACCCTTAATCTTGCCTAACATCTTAAACTAGGGTTTGATTCATCCTAGTTACTGTGAATCCCCTCACTAGAAACCATTGAATACCATGCAACTCAACTTTAAAGTTAGTTACTTTTAACTAACATGTTAATGATTTAGGGGTAATATGTTGTTACAACTCAAGGTATTTCACAAAACCGAGTTTAATGGCTCAGAGGATAAGGGAAAGAAACTAAAGAAATATAAATTGTATTAAAATAATGAAATTAGGATTACATATGAATCCCTATATTGCAGTCTATAGCCAAAGTAAAGGCATATCCTACAACATTAGATATAAACAAAAATTATACCCATGACAGATATAAACAATTAAGTATAGAGAGTAATCTACATTTAAAAATTAGGATAAATGTCGATTTTAGTCCCTCAACTTAAGGTTTTGCACAATTTTCATCCCTCAACTTTTTTTTGCACTTTTTTAGTCCCTTAACTATGAAAAATGCACTTTTTTAGTCCTTTTGTCAATTAATCCATTAAGTCTATTTTAATCTGCACATTTTTAATCCCTCAACTTCTAATATATGCACATTTTTCATCCTTCAACTTAAGCTTGAGAGACTAAAAATGTGCAAATTCATATAAACTTAACGGATTAACTAACGAAAGACTAAAAAAGTGCATTTTTCATAGTTAAGGGATCAAAAAGGTGCAAAAAAAAGTTGAGGGATGAAAATTGTGCAAAACCTTAAATTTGAGGGACCAAAATTAGCATTTAACCTAAAAATTACAATAGAAATTACTTTACAAGGCATAAACAAAACTACTAACATAGAAAGAAAGTCACTAGGAGCATCCTAAGCTACTAGGCCTACTCAACTATTATGCCATTTTCTCATGAAAATCAAGTAGTTTAGCAAATAATAGCCCTTACCTAATGAATATCATATCAAAAAGAAGATGTGCTAGTCTAGAGGGAAGTTGGAATCTTTTCCATGCATCATTGAAGCTAGGCCTAAATTAATCCAAAAGAGAGTTCAAGTCTCCATTAGCCCACTAATCCTGCCACCAACAACTGAAGTAAATGTCATAACTAGTTCTAGCCTAGCTATACCCACCACCACATTGTTGTTCTCTTCAAACTAATGCAAAACTCAATGCAAAACTCAATGCAAAACATCAAGAGAGCCCAAGTAGTGACCCCAAAAAAGAGAGACAAAAGAACTCTCACAAAGGAAAGAAAGACTCTCAAAAAGAGAGAAATTCCCCTATATTCATTAACCCTAACTATCGAGAGGGAGGGATGTGATGGCTGAAAGGAAAGAGAAGTAAGAAAAGAGGAAGAGCATTAGGGAGAGAGGAATATGCTACTAAGGAAACAATAAGTTGTTTAAGGAAGCATATTTTAAAATAGGTTTTTCTTGGCTATTTTTATGGTATTCTCTAATGAATCTAACCACTAGCTTTTTTTCCATTGAAAGAATGAAAAAAAAAAAAAGGAAAAAGAAAAAGGAGAAATGACTCAAAGCTAGGGTTAGGCCTAGGCATAAGATCTTAGAAAAGAAAACTCTCTTACACTTGATCGAGTCTGACACCCAAAAAAATCCATACACAACAACAATAATAGGTTTTATTAAAAAATAAAAAGAAAAAATAACAGGATAACAAAGCTTTTGTAGTGAGAATTTCTTATTTTATCATATATAAATTATATAAACTTGGAGGCCTATATATAGGTTAAGAGAAATGTAGAGGTTATATTAGCCATTAAATAGGATTAAATGAAGGTATGAATAACTCCTTAGTGCAGCCGTGAATAGCACCTAAGTGAAGTTTTGGATGACTCTTAGTGGAGCCATAAATGACACCTAGCTAAAAATGAATTATAACGCAAAAGAAGATGAAGATGAAGTGAAGGTGAAACATCCACTAATAAAAACATTCACAATGGTATTTTCTTTTTAGGCTATTCTCATGGTATTTTATATTGAATGGAACCATTATCTATTTTTCATAAAAAAGAAAAAAAAAAGAAAAGAAAAAGAAAAAGGGGAAATGGCCAAATACTAGGCTGGGCTTTGGTGTACAATTTTAGAGAAAAACTCTATTGGGCTTAACCGGGTATCACACCCTAAAAAAAAATAAAAAATAAAAAAAATCCTTTACACGGCAAAAAAATAATCCCTCAACTTCTCCACCGGTTGATTCAAAGTGACGAAGCCCGAAACTCCGAGAGGGAGGAATACTGTCGTGGTGGGATCGGGGAGGATGTTGCAGTTCCCGGCGTTCATGACGCAGTACCCATCATCTACGAGGACGATTCCGACGTTGTTCCTGCTACCATCTCAGTGGTCCCAAGCTCAAAACGAAGAGCTACTCCTCGCCATGGAGGAGTCCAATTTCGAGGAAAAGGTAACCTCAATTTTCTCCCCCTATATATACTTTTTTTGGCCTAAATTTCGGTAATGAAACTTTGTACTTTTAATTCAGGTAATAATAATATTGATTTTGGGAGAAGATAAGTTCCAAAGGAAAACTAGGATTTTAATAATGAATGCAGAATAAGAATGTACGGCTTTCTGTTAGCTGGAAAGAGATTTTGTGAGGTAATACCTTTATCATAGAAATTGAAAAGCATTTTATCTAATTTGAATTTCTTGACTCCCAAATCAGTATCTTTAAGTTGAGAGGGAATTCTTGATTGCTCTTTAAGTTGAGAGGGAATTCTTGATTGCTCTGATACATGATCAAGAGCATGGAATCTAAATCCAATTGACAATTGATAGAGTAGCCCATATTATAGCCCATATTATAGTTAAGTCCTTGTGTGGATTTTCCAGCTGGTAGGATAAGGTCCAGAAAAGAATTCAGGGTTACTGTTTTGCTAAGGTATGAAAAGAAAAATCAATTGGAAACAACTTCAAAAAGTAAAGGTGAAATGAAATTTCACTTATTGGGCTACCTTGCTGAGGTAACTTGTTTGGTTGAAACATTTTTCTTTTCTTTTCATTTTGATGTTGTCTTTGGTTTATGGATATGCATTATAAGTTTATATGAATGATTAGAAAAGTAAAAGAGAAGTGTGCTCTATATGAATGTTTAGAATGTTTAGCCATTTCTTACTGCTCTTATGGCATGAGAGCTCTAATCTATTAGTGTCTTCTTTTGCAAAAGATTGATGTCACAGATAATATTTATATATTATAATAAGTTACAAATGCAATAGAATTAGTCTCATACCAAAAGTTAGTTAAAAAAATGTATAGATGTATTATAGAAAAAGGGATTATAAAAGTTGAAAAACAAAGGACTGTTAAATATGGAGTGAGGAAAGAGAAGTCGATTCAAGGATACAGGAGTTGTAGTAGTGAAGTTGATTTTAATGTAATCATAGGTTAATTGGTTATGGTAATATGGTTTCTGGTTATGGGCAAAACCTAATGGGAAATCAGGAAGGAGGAATAGGTAATTTCAGTATCAAAAGGCAAAGTTAATAAACTGTCATTCCTTTCCCTTGCTTTGCCCAAACTTTGGGGTTATATATATGTATTCATTTTAAAGAATTGTCCATCCCTGGCTAACCAAACAAGGCAAAGGTTCATTTCCCATCCCTGCGTTCAATCCAAACATAATGTTAAAGTTCTTTTAGTTACCACTCTGGGCTGGCTCCCTTTTGAAGGTTTGTTAGTTTTCTTAATGTAAGAAAAATTTTAAGTTATAATCATGGAGGTTTTGCTTGCTGTTCAGATATGCATAGAGCAATTTTGTTTATGCGTTTTTTCTGTGGATGTGAGATTTAGTGTGTGTACTTAGAGAATAGAATCAGAAAATGCATACTCTTGGAACAAGAATTTTGTTGAAAAGTTTGGGTGTTTGCTTAAACTTCAAAAGTAACATGGGGTATCAAGTGTTATTGGTGAGACCAGCTAAGAAATAAGATGATTAATAATTCTGTGAAGATTGGTGCAATATTACAAATTATGACAGTAAGAATTGGAAGTATTCAGTAGGGAGAATGGAGCCCTTTATCTTTTAAGTTGTATATAGAATTTGCTACCGTAGGAAAAAAGGCCACCTAACTGCAGGGAGAAGCACAATTAATTCATCTGTGATGCAAATATGAAGGCATTGAGTTAACGCTAGTTAAAACCATTGTTCAAGATTGTAATAGGGAGCGTGATTCTATATGTTAGCCCCCATTTTTTTTTTCTTGTTTCCTTGTGCTTTATTATTATTATTATTATTATTATTATTTTATAAACAAATAGTAAATTAATTCTCCCTTCTGCTTTTGAGTGTTAGCTCTATTGTCATGTTCATGAATATTTTTTTCAGATAAATGAAATCAGAGAAACTAATAGAAACTCAATTGTGATTGGGAAAACCACTGCTGATAATGATAAAGAAGAGGATGATAATGAAGCAGATGATGATGATGCTGACAATGCCGAGGAATCAGAGGGTGAGGAATTTGAGCAAGAAACCGGCTAAAGATGATGGGCATATCTTTGTTTATTGCAGGATTCTACTCTGCATTTGCGTATGTTGTCTCATCGACTCTGAAATTTATGACCAACTTCTCAAATGACTCCCTAATGTTTGTTATGATATTTGTGAACTCAAACTCCATGTCCCGTAACATTTTTAATCTCTTTTGATTATTCCTATTGTGAGGAAGATTAAAAGTACATGTTCAACTCCTTGAGTAGCATCATTAGACTTGTTAAATAGGTTGGATTGGGTGAGATTGAATTTAATTACTTATATTATAAGTTTATACAGTTTAATTATTTCAAATTTTGAATTAAAGGATTAGACTTATGACCTACTCATATGGGTCTTGGATTGAATCAGGTAGACTTAATTTTTTTTAAAATTAAAATTTTTATTATTTATTATTTTTCTTTAAAAAAAATTTAATATTTAATTAATTATTTAATAAAAAATCTATTAAGTTAATATTCACTATAATAATTAATTAGCAATAATTAATTTATGGTTGTAGACAAAAAAAATTATATTTTTATTGTGTGCAATGGTATTTAATTTTATTCTTTATTTGAAAATTAAAATTAAAAGTATAATTAATTCAAATTGTAAATTTAAAAGAATTCATTGATTTCTATCTGTCACTTTAGTTTAATTTGATTTAATCTTGATTTAACTTAATTTGGTATAGATAATTTTAATTTTAATTTTAATTATATCAAAATCTAAATTAATATGTTAAATTCATAACTTAATTCATAATTTGTAACTTGAGTCAGATCTTTGAATTGGGCCTAATTTTGCCAAATTTAGCTTTCATTTTCTTGTCCGGTAAAGGAAGGGGAAGGACATTGTCACTGTCACCTCCCTTGTTTGGTTGCAGAGAAAAGTGCTCAGATAAAAAATAGTTGAGTTGTTCTTTCATGCCCTTTTCCAATTTCATAGGCCAACGGGCCCAATGAGTTCAAACCACCTTGAACAATCAGAGTAAATAGACTAGAAGGGCGTTTGACGAACTTGAAAAGACAATTTGTTTTCTCAGAATTTGCTTAAAAAATACTTTAAAAATTAGTATTTAAATTTTTTAAATAAAATTGAAATTTATAAAATGTAAGGACAGGTCCGAGGTGCCCAACCTCGGATGAATGATAGTAATTCCTTTATGACCGAAGTGAAGGATAAATCCAAAGATTCCCACTCAAGTAACTGCATGACAGCAACAGTAGGCATGCTCGCACCTGATCCTTTATGATGAGCTGCATAGCAGTTACGGTGGGCATCCTTGCATCTGAATATTTCTCAAATTCCAGGTCCCGAAATAACCGTCTGGAGATACACATCAGATCCCGAATATCTTGCTTGGCATGCCACGTGGGCTCTTCATTAAAACCTATAAATACCCCCCAAGGGCCACGTCAAAAAGGTAATTGAAACCAACCCTAAGCTCCTCGTTTCTCCGCTCTAAAGGTAGCCCCGATTATTGCTGACTTAAGCATCGGAGTGTCTACCCCGATGATCCACCTCGGGGCTTTGCAGGTCAATCTAGAGTGCAGATACGGACTGAAGAAGGACTTCTGGTTTGGTGCAATTACATTTGGCGCCGTCTGTGGGAATCCGAACTAAAAGCTCCCTTGTTGCTCTTATCATGGTTAAAACTAGGTTAGTCCGAGCTGGAAACTCATCTCAACCTCTTGGACGAGGTCAGGTCCCCAGCAACCTTCCGCCTCATCCCCCACCCCCAATCCCGAATACATTCCCTCACGTTGACCATGTAGAAGGAGGTGATGAAAATCAACCACACAATTCGGCTCACAATTCAGCCTCTACTGCCAACCAAGACGTAGTTGCAGCTCAGCTCACTGCCATGCAACAATAGTTTGGTGTTTTTCAGCTAGTGCTGGCTCAACTATTAGCTTGGAACAATCCTAGTGATCCACTCATCAACCTACTCAATCCTGCTCCACAACCCCCAACTCCACAACAAAATCCTGAACCAGTTCAGCATGCTCCTGCTATTAGCGAATCTCAAGGCCAATCTCACATTGCACCAGTTCAGCAACCCCTTCATGATGATGTCACTCGACGTCTAGACAGCTTAGAAAAGCTAGTGGCTGAACAGTGAGGTGCCCCACCTCCCCACCATGCTGCTGACTCCATACCCTACCCTTTGAACACCAACATTACATTGGAACCCTACCCCGCTGGCTTCAAGATACCACAACTTGAAACTTATGATGGGACGAAAGACCCCGATGATCATCTACATGCTTTCTATTCTTGTATGCAAGCCCAGAATGCCTCTGATGTGTTGATGTGCAAAATCTTTCCCTCTACTCTCCGAGGTAATGCTTGAACCTGGTACTACAGTCTACCTCTGAGGTCAATCAACTCTTATACAGAAATTACATCTGCTTTTGCCATAAAGTTTTCCAGTCAACGGTTGATCAGGAAAACCACTTCTGAGCTGATGCGAGTTAGGCAGAGGGACGGAGAGTCTTTGAAGAATTTTATGAGCAAATTCAATGATGCAGTACTGGAGGTTAGCTCTTTCGACCAGGCTGTGGGAATTACATATGTGATCTCAAGACTTAGCCATGAGAGATTCAGAGATAGTCTGCTCAAGCATTCTGCCACCACCTTCAGCGAGGTAAATGATAGATTATTGAAATTCATAACTGCTGAAGAATATGCCTTGTCGTAAAAACCAGCCCCTTCTAAGAACCAAAACCCAGACTAGAGAGATGAGAATCCAAGCAGGAAGCGGATGAGGATAGCACAGAACTGAGGACCGATGTCGACCTCCGTACCGAGATTCGAAAGATTGAACTCTACACCCCCACAACAGTCTGAAGGTAAACCTCCAGTTAATTGGACTCCTTTAAATTTGCAGCGGTCACAAATTTTCATGCAGATCAAGAATAAGATGGATTTAAGGCATCTTGGCCCGCTGAGAACTGCTACTGCTAGCTGAGATCATACTAGATATTGTGATTTTCATCAAGATCACGGTCACACAATAGAGCAATGCAACAGCTTGAGGTCCGAACTGGAAAGTCTTGCCTAGAAGGGAATGTTGAATGAGTACATTCAGAGAGTTGAACAGCCATGGTTTGTCAGAGAACAAGGACCATAGCCTCAAGGAGTCCGTAACCTGCCAAACCGGCAAGGTGTTGTGTATCAACAAACCCCACCCCCGCTCCCACCACCAGCTAGAATCATACACATGATCACGGGAGGCTTGGAAGCCGGTGGACTAAGCTCTAAGCAGCAAAAGTTGTATGTCAGAGAGGTTAAGCATCAGAACCGAGCTCAGAAGCGAAAGTTTGACGATGCTGAGTGGAAGAATCAACCCATTACCTTCACATCTGCTGATCTTGATACAGTCGTCACACCTCACAATGACCCCCTAGTCACTTCTGTCACGATTAACAATTGTGAGGTGCAGCGTGTCCTTGTTGACACAGGGAGTGCACCAGACATCATGTACTTCCATTGTTTTGAGAGCCTTGGGTTGGATCCAGCTTTGTTGTAGCGTTATGATGGTCCCATCTATGGATTCAACAACCAACCAGTCCCAGTTGAAGGAGTCCTCACCATGAATGTTGCATTCGGAAGTGGCCGAAGTTACGTGACCCCTTCAGTTAGGTTTCTGGTAGTCAAAATGGCATTCTCTTTCAACGTCGTCATTGGCCGACCCACATTGATTGAAATCCAAGCTGTGGTTTCCCAGTCTCACCTATGCATGAAATTCCCAACTCCTATGGGAATAGCAACGCTGCGAGGCAACCAGGAGGTGGCCCGACATTGCTATATCACCTCAATCACACAACCTCAGAAGGGTAAAGATCAGACACCCAAGGCTAATCCCAAACGGATTCCTGACAATCGGCAAGTTATGGGTGTTGAAATAGTGGAAAACCGACTAGAAGATGAAACCAGAGCTGCTCCAGTCGAAGATGTGGAAGAGGTACAAATTGATGACAGAGATCCAACCAGAAAAACATAGATAGGAACTTGGCTGAGCCCCGATAAGAGAACAGAGCTAATAGCCTTTCTCCGAGCAAACAAAGATGTTTTTGCATGGACCTCAACAGATATGCTGGGAATTCCCCTTCGGTTTCTCAACATAAACTCAGCACCAATCTACTCAAGAAACCAATAGCCCAGAAGCAACGCCTCTTCGGGGGAGAGAGGTTAACGGTCATCAAAGAAGAAGTTGAAAAACTCTTACAAGCTGGCTTCATTAAACAAGTCGATTATTGTGAATGGGTCGCCAATCCTGTGTTGGTGAAGAAAGCAAATGGCAAATGGCAGATGTGCATCGATTACACTAACCTCAACCAGGCATGCCCAAAAGACTGTTACCCAATGCCAAACATTGACAAGCTAGTTGAGGCAGCTTTTGGAAACGAGAGATTAAGTCTCCTGGACGCATACTCTTGCTACCACCAGGTTCCAATGGCTCCTACCAGGTTCCAATGGCTCCTAAAGATGAAGAAAAAACCTCGTTCTATGCCGGCGATGAAATCTATTGCTATGTGATGATGCCTTTTGGCCTGAAGAACGCAGGTGCCACTTACTAGAAGATGGTTACCATCGTATTTTGAGCTCAAATAGGTCGGAATCTGGAAGTATATGTTGATGATATCGTGGTGAAAAGTTTGAAAGTTGGAGATCACTTAACCGACCTCAAGGAGACATTCAACAACCTCAGAAAGAACAAAATGAGGTTGAATCCAGCAAAGTGCATCTTCGGCGTGGAGTCTAGAAAATTTCTAAGCTTCATGGTGTCCAGAAGGGGGATTAAGGTTAACCCCAAGAAGATCAAAGCAGTAGCCGAGATGGAACCGCCGAAGTCAGTGAAAGATATACAAAGGTTGACTGGAAGAGTGGCAGCTCTTCATCGGTTCATATCGAAGTCAGCAGATAAATGCCTGCCATTTTTCAAGATTATGAGATCAGCTGCCCAAAATGATGAATCGGGTAAACAGAAGAAGTTTGAGTGGAATGAGGAATGCCAAGCCGCATTTGATGAGCTGAAGTCTTATCTTAGCTCACCACCTCTACTAATTAAGGCCATAGATGGAGAGATTCTCTATTTGTATCTGAGAATTTCTGATGAAGCCATTAGCATGGTCCTGGTGAGAGAGGAAGCCAAACAGCAAAAGCCAATCTATTACATTAGTAGTGTGCTGCATGGTGCAAAGCTGAGGTATCCCATTGCTGAGAAATCCCATTGCTGAGAAAGCAGCTTTAGCAGTTGTCACTTCGGCCAAGAAGTTAAGGCCATATTTCCAGTCACACCCGATCATTGTCCTTACAGACCAACCTCTTCGACAGATTCTGCAAAAGCCAGAGTGCTCTGGAAGATTAATTAAATGGGCAGTAGAACTAGGAGAATTTGAGATAACATTTCAGTAGAGATCGGCAATCCAAGCTCAGGCGCTGGCAGATTTTATTGTAGAATGCACTCCATGTCATTCAATCTCTAGTTCGGAGCCCAATGATTGGATCTTATATGTTGATGGGGCATCTAGTAGCAAAGGTTCAGGAGATGGCGCTCTCTTACTTGGCCCAGATGGATGCCAAAGTGAACATGCCTTGAAATTCAACTTCGATGCAACAAATAACATGGCTGAGTATGAAGCTCTCCTACTTGGTCTACAATTAGCATTGGAGTTGAAAATCAGCGCAATCCAAGTGTACAGTGACTCTTAGCTGGTGGTGAATCAAATCAAGTCAATCTATGACGTCGTCGATCCCGTGATGGTGAAATATGTAACTCTAGTGGCCGAGCTGAAGTGCAAATTTCAGAAGTTCTGTCTGAGCAAAATTCCCCAAGCTGAGAATGAATAGGCAGATTCACTTTCTAAATTTGCCTCGGATAGCTCTTTAGGTTCTAGATCAGTTTTTGTGGAGGTCTTAGATGCACCAAGCTTCATGAAGCCGCGGGTGATGGAGATCAACACAGACTTAGACACGCCAAGCTGGACTGACTCAATTATCTTCTTTTTACGAGACGGGGTAATACCTGAGGATAAGCAGGAGGCAATGAAGTAGAGGAAGAAAGCATCTCGGTATGCACTTGTTGATGGGGTCCTCTATAAGAGATCTTTCTCACTCCCTCTTCTACGATGCTTGAATCCCTATGAAGCGAAATACGCACTTAGGGAGGTGCATGAAGGTGTCTGCAGAAGTCACGTAAGTGCTCGAACTTTGGCTCATAAAGTCCTTAGACAGGGTTATTATTGGCCCAACATGTACAAGGATGCCACTCAGTTCGTACAGAGGTGTCAGAAATGTCAATTCTTTGCACATCTAATCCACCAGCCTGCAGAAGAACTCACTACTCTAATAGCACCTTGGCCATTTGCTCAGTGGGGTCTTGACCTTTTAGGTCCATTTATAAAGGGGGTAGGAGGTGTAACCCATCTCATCGTTAGTGTGGATTATTTCACAAAATGGGTTGAAGCTCGGGCATTATCCAGTCTTACCTCCAAGAAGGTCGAGGACTTTTTTTTCAGCTCAATTATTTGCAGATATGAGATCCCGAATCAGATTGTAGCTGATAATGGAACTCAATTCAATTGCTCCTCATTCTGAGATTTCTATTCCAGCTACGGGATCAAACTGCAGTTCACCTCGGTTTACCATCCGGAGTCTAATGGCATGGTCGAATCTGTTAACAAATGCATTTTAGAAGATATAAAACCGAGATTGGAACAGCACAAGGCCAAATGGGCAGACGAGCTCAACAATGTCTTCTGGGCATATAGAACCACGAGCCGAACAGCCACAGGTATTACTTTAAACCTGGTCTATTTGATTAACTTTATATTGTTTTTCTCTTTCTGCTACGGCTTTACCTTAGAGCAAATATACATAACGCGTAAAACGCATTCTAAAGTTATAATTAATTGAAATAGGTGAAACACCCTATCATCTAGCCTTTGGTACCAAAGCAGCCATTCCTATCGAGATAGAAGTCCCAAGCTTCAAGGTCACCCATTTCGATGAAGGACGAAATGAACAACTGTTTCGGGAGAACCTTGATCTACTTGATGAAGTCAGGGAAGAAGCACGACTTCGAACTCTAGTCTACAAGCAGAAAATAGAAAACTTCTACAACAAACGAGTTCGACCTCAAACATTCAAAGTAGGAGACCTTGTTCCCTAGAAAGCTGGTCTAACGGGGTTTGAAACTCGATTTGGAAAGTTAGCACCAAACTGGGAAGGCCCCTACACTGTAGCCAAAGTGCCCCACCGAGGTGCTTATATCCTACAGGATACTGAGGGCAAAAGGGTTCCTAGAGTCTGGAATGCCAATAACTTTAAGAAATTTTACCCTTAATACACTTCTTTCCAGTGAACTTTGTCTTATTTCTACAATTGCCATTATTCTGATTACTGTATATCGAAACTCAATTCATTTACATCATTAATGAACTTCACTTCACATTCGAAGTGATTCAGTCCTTTCATTGTGACTTATTCAGTCACTTCATTTGTTGGGTTATGATTTTATTACACTTACTTCTGAAGTGACTTCATCTTTTGTCATTTCTATATTCGAAGTCCACCTCATATATATCCGAGGTTAATTCCTTTGCTGTTCATTTTATTGTGTTCGAGGTCAGAACCTTGTCTTAAATAAAGTTACTTTATTTTATCCGAAGTCATTCACTTAAAATAAACTAGCAATTCGAAACCAAAGCTGAACACTGAGAATAAACTTAAAAAATTTTATAAATAAAATCTCACTTACAAAAAAAGTTATTTTCAAATATAACTAAGAATATAAAAACCTAAGCTACTCTGCTGGAGGAGGAGGCTGCTCCTCCGCAAGAAGAGGGGGTTGAGGCGACTCATCTCCAACAGGCAGGGGTGGCACTTCTGCTTCAGGAGGAGCCAGCTGCTGCACTTCATCAGAGGAGATTGGATGTACTTCCGGAGGCTGCACTTTGGCCAGGTCTACCTGATCCTCAACTCCAACACCTTGCACTTCTTCTTCTTCTTCTCCTTCTTCTCCTTCTTCCTCCACTGCTACCAACTCAGCATCAAAGGCAGGAGGGAAGATAGTGCATCCCTCTACGTCAAGCTCCCACCTCAGCTTGATCAAAGGTCAGAAGTCAACAGAAAGACTCTCACCATCCTCCTCCACTCCTTCTTCTTGTTCCCCAAAAGTGACCATTGTCACGTCCACCTCTGGGTACTAGGCCTTCACCTTCTTTCTACAGTTGGTGAAGGCCACGATTACGGTTGGTAGTCGGTACAGGTTGATGATGTTCTTGAAGACACTAAAGTTTAGGAAGTTGCCAATGTGCTCCTCCATTCCGTTGTGAACCAGCAGATTCACGTTCTTTTTCAGCTCCGTCACTCCTTTCCTCATGTTGTCAATATATTTGTCTTGAGCTTCGAGCTTCTCTTTATAGATCTTCCTCTTACGTTTTTCAAGAACGAGTTTTGTGCTCAAGACATCATTGTCGTTTTGGAGCTCGGTAATTGAAGGGAGAACTTCATCCAGCCTTCTCTGCATCTCCCTCTTCTCCTTCTCCCACTCCTCCTTCTCCTTTTGCAATTCTTCCTTCTCCTTCTGAAGCTGCTCACACTACCTCTGCAAGCTGGCATGATCTCTCACGCTCTCCGCGTACTCTTGCGCTAGAGCGTTTGTCCAGCTTGCACTCTACAATGCAAACAGAAGTAGTTAGAACTCAAATGCAGAAGTCAGAAAATAAAAAATAAAGCATGAATAAGTTACAACTCCTTCACATACCTCCAGGGCATGCCTCACAACGGTAGCCCCTAGCTGGCTCACCGCCTCTTGCTTCGCCTGCCTCCTATCCACCTCAGGCAACGTCACGTTGAGGAACCGTTTCGCTCCAATAGTGTTTGTTGCCTCAAACAAACTCTTTTGGTATGACTGAGGAGGGATGAGCTCCTTGCCTTTGCTAGAACCTCGCACCACGGTCTCTTCCCTCTCTCTGAATTCAACATCAACTTCTAGGGGAGAAGGCCGAGGCACGAACTCAACCAGCTCATCCCTTCTAACCTCCAGTTCCGCCACCTTCCGCTTCTTTCTCTGGACCTCCTCACTACCCCCCATCACAGGCTCTGGCCTTGGCTACACCTCCACAGCCCGAGCAGAGGTGCTAGACAGCCACTCCCTCTCTACCCCCCTTTCTCCGCCGCAGTTGAAGTCTTTGACTTCTTCCTTGGCTTCTTTGGGATGCGCAACCCCCCAGCAGCATTTATGAACTCGTCCATCTCAGTTGCAAAACAAACGTAAATGTCAGAACACACCAGCTCAAACCTCACTAAAATTGCACAATGTAAACATATACAAACCTTCGCTTAATAAGCTTGGCCCATAGAGCTCAGCAGCCTCTATTGCCTTCGAGCTGGTGAGGTATAGGATATCCACTACGTCTCCTTCTTCCCTCACCAGCTTTTCTACCTCCTCCACCTCACCCTCATTTAACTTATAGTTGTTCTGCTTGGTTTTCTTAGCTTTCCAAGTAGACAACTGTTCCACTTCGGCATCCCTCCTACTCCACTCGGTGTCATCCACAAAGAAGAATTTTTCTTTCCATCCTTTGATGGATGACGGTCCAGCAGAGAATAAACTCCTATTCCCTTTGCTGGACGACCGAGGACCGAAGTAATACCACCCCTTCTCCCCCTTACCCCCAGCCTTTATTATAAAAAAATGTTTGAACATATTTACTATAGGGACCCCAACCCCCCGAACTTGGCAGTATATAAGAAAACCTATTATTACCCTTATGGCATTTGGGGTTAGTTGGGTTATTCCTATACTATAATCTAATAATAACCCAACCAGTAATTCTGGAATGGAAAACCTAAGCCCTGCAATCAAATAATGAACGTACAGGGGCATCCAATGGTCTCAGGGTGCTAAGCATGCCCTCTCATTCACCCCGGCAGGCCTAATTAGGACATGGTGAGGAAGGTTACAGTTACCCACGAGGCCCCTATGACTATCCCTGCTACCTAACTCGCTCACATACCCCCTCACCTCAGATACTATCTCTAAATCTGGGTCATAACACCCATCTACTCCCAGCCTCCAAAATGTTTGAGGGGATCTCATCTTCCTCCTCCTCTACTACCCTTTGCTCCCTCCTCTCCTCCACTGTCCTCTCCGAACTAGTTGGAGATGGACTGCTCTCCAAATCCATGCTCCCGTAATCCAAAGGCATCACCTCACTCCCCATTACACTCATGGTCCCTTCTGAAGACATCTCCTCAATTTCTGCATAAAGTAAGAGGAGGAACAGAGTCAGGACCCTTAAAAATTCTCACACACTCAATACATTCTCACTCCCAACCCTAATTTCCTACAAAAAACCCAAAATCAATCACAGAAAGGGAGAAAGGAGAATAGCACTTCGACACAATCAAAATCCAAAATTCATAGCCATTACCTGATTTTGGTCTTGGGAAACTGTTGTTGAAGCCTCAAACAAAGCGCAGACCGCACGAAACCGCAGAGATTTAGCAAGAATTTAAAAGCAAAATCGCGAGAGTAAAAAACCCCTCTTTACAAACGTCTAGCCTTTTATACCAAAGGCAAAATACGCCTCAATGGCTGTGATTAACCCCATCTAACGACTGCAGAGACACCGTTTCGAATTCAACGGTTAACCCCAAACGGTACCGTTTCAAACTCGACGGTTCATTTTTTATATCTGCCCGTTGGGATGTTACAATTATCCTTTTACAGTGACATTTATTATGCATGTCATTCAGAGGACAGTTGTCGCGTCGCGTACTGCCTCTTTGTCAGACTTCTCAGACAGGCCCACTTAAGCCCATTTCAACACTCTTGCTCATTTTTATCCATTTTAAATTTTGCACAAGTGTTTCACTTCGGCTCCAGCCACAATAACCCAATGTCACACGTTTTACTTCGGCTCCGACCATAGTGACCCCATGTCACACGTTTTACTTCGGTTCCAGCCACAGTGACCCCGTGTCACACGTTTTACTTCGGCTCCGGCCACAGTGATCCAGTGTCACACGTTTTACTTCAACTCCGGCCATAGTGAGCAGTGTCACACGTTTTACTTCGGCTCCAGCCACAGTGACCTTGTGTCACACGTTTTACTTCGGCTCCGGCAACAGTAACCCAGTGTCGCACATTTCACTTCAGCCACCGCCACAGTGACCCAATGTCACATGCTTTACTTCAGCTCCGGCCACTATGACTCCGATCATTAATTTTTACTATTTGTTATTACTTTCTTACATTGACTCTAGGCATTCTTTTACCACGGCCACGGCCATGATCAATCCGATTACATTTTATTTTATTTTATTTTTGGGCGTGGCCAATATGACCCCCTATCACGTATTTCACTATTAGCTACAGCTCTACATACATTTGCGGTACAGAGTTTCATTTTTATTTCCATTTTTACTTCTGCAACTCATCTTGCATACTTGTATCTATCTTTCACTTCTATTTATGCGCTACCCCCATTATCCCTAACAACATCATTCACAAGTGAATGACTTCGGGGGGGAATAGTGTAAGGACAGGTTCGAGGTGTCCAACCTCGGACAAACGATAATAATTCCTTTATGACCGAAGTGAAGGATAAATCCAAAGATTCCCACTCAAGTAGCTACATGACAGCAACAGTAGGCATGCTCACACCTGATCCTTTATGATGAGTTGCACAACAGTTACGGTGGGCATCCTTTCATCTGAATATCTCTCAAATTCCTGGTCTCGAAATAACCATCTGGAGATACACATCAGATCCTGAATATCTTGCTTGGCATACCACATGGGCTCCTCATTGAAACGTATAAATACCCCCAAGGGCCACGTCAAAAAGGTAATTGAAACCAACCCTAAGCTCCTCGTTTCTTCGTTCTAAAGGTAGCCCCGATTATTGCTAACTTAAGCATTGAAGTGTCTACCCCGAGAATCCACCTTGGGGCTTTGCAGGTCAATCCGGAGTGCAGATACAGATTAAAGAAGAACTTCTGGTTTGGTGCAATTACATAAAAAAAATAATTTATTTTGAAAATTAAATACTTTTAAAATTTTACCGAGTGCCTCTCATCAAGATTCAACTTGCTTTTGATCATTTCCAACGATGTCAATATATTTCACGCGTAAAGGCTGTCTTCTGTTTCCCATTTCTCAGGACTTTGTAGCGTTCAAGTCATCAAAAACTGCATTTTCAAAAAAAAAAAAAAAAAGTCATAAAAAACTGCACACTTTGCCAACTGCTCTTTCTTGTTTTCGTCCTTTCTTTGACACCATCTTTGTCTTCTTAGTACTCCACCATCTTAATTAAAAATTTTTTGGCCCACTTTCTTGGTCTAACCTTGCATTACATCCCAGCAGAACCCAGATAGAAACTTCGTTGCCAGTGCGAAACGTTCTCTCCAGAATTTCTAAACCTGTACCCACAGCCAGAATCTGATTCCATCCTTAATCAACCTGCAAAGTTGGAGAACTACTAAATTAATTATAAAACTAAAACTTTTCCTCAAAAAAATTATAAAACTAAAACTTGCATAAAAATCCAAGTCAAACATTTGACCAACAAAACAGGTCCTTACACTTGTTCCTTAGTCAAAACACGTGTCACAAACACAATCGACTGCTTCCTGTACGCGTCGAGTTTACATTTTCAAATTTTCTCCTCGGTCAAGGTGAACCGATCACCGCTGCGTGTCACAAGTGGCGGCGTGCGTAGAAAAGACGGCTGTTAATGGAACTTAACAGAACCCTAACGGTGACAATTCTGTATCAACTCAAGAACGACTGAAATTGGGCATGGAAAGACAATTCCTCCTCACTCAATTCTCTATTTACAAACAATGCCAAATACAAACTTAGAAATTTAGAAGTTTTTAGTATCGAGAATACTTTTTTTTGCCATATAAGCCTCTCAAAGGCAAGGCAAAGCAAGGACGCTTCTTTCATTCGTCCTTTTTTTTCTATGTTCTTCTGCGATTGGTCTAGTACCGGTAATTAGAATGAGGAACGTTGTGAAAAAACCTAGGGCTACCGTGTACATGGCAGTGACGATAACAAGCTTTACCGGAGTCTCTAATAAATCTCAACGGTGGAGAAGAACTCCGGTGACGTAAATGATCTTTCACCAGAGAGTCGATCGACTTTGGCGCGGAGAGATCGATACTCGATGGACTTGACGGAGGAGGAGAGATCTGCTTGAGATATTTAGGCGGCGAAAGGATTGCCCTGATCTTTGAAGAAGAAGCAGAAGCTTGGTTGTAAAATTCAATCAGATTAGCCAAATCTTCATCGGATTTTATCGAAATTAAAGTCTCCAAGTCACCGTTGGGCAATTGACACCTCAAATTCACGGAATATCCGCAAAATTCACCCAGCTTCACCATCAGCTCTGTACAAATTCAATACTCTCACTAACGCAAAAGGAAACAACAAATGATTTCCATCTCCTAAAATTGAGAAAGATACGAACCTGCGTAGGAAATGGACCTATCGACGGACAGAACTCTGGTGAGTCCGCCAACGTAACGGAGCTTGCCGTCTCCGGAACGAGGAAGAATCTTGCCGCCGTAGCTGCAGAGAAATTTTATGGTGTTGTTGCTTCTCTTCGATTCGATTTCTCTCACCATGATTAAAGAAGTTCCACAGCGTTTTTCTATAGAGAGGGGTCGAGAAGGGAATCTAGGGGAAGAACACTTGTTGAGGTGTTACTGCTTGAAACCGAAGGGGTTAGAAGTAGCGGGTTATTTATGGGAGGATGCTAACGGCAGGTAGAGGCCCACACTCAATGAGGGCGTTGAGGGGAAGCAGAAAAGGAACCGCCTGCGGCCTCTTCATCATTTCATTCCCTTTAAAATTCCGAATATTCCTTTTTTTTTTTCCTCGCTGCGAAGTAAGCGCTGAAATACCCGACCTTTGCCCAATCAAGTGGACCCCGGCGGTGCCAATATTGTCCGCTTCCCTTCTCTGTTTTGACGTATATTTTATTTTTGGTCAAATATCAATTATGATCCTTCAACTTTAAAGTTTTATCAATTTTTGTCCTTCAATTTTTTATACACTTTTTAATTCTCTTAACTACAAAAAATATACTTTATCAATTAGTTGGTTATATTTATCTATATATATACATTTTTAGTCCCTAAACTTTTAAATTGAAGGATAAAAAATATGCATTTATTATAAATTGACATATTAAAAATATGTATTTTTGTATAAATTTAATAAATTAACTAATAAAAGATTTAAAAAGTATAATATTTTATAGTTGATAGATCAAAAATATAGATATAAAAGTTGATAGATCAAAAATATACAAAATTTTAAAATTAACATATCAAAATTTACACCTAACCTTTATTTTTTTTGTCCTTACCTTTTTATACGTGAATTGAAAGGCCTATTTTCCTTCTATATTTTTTCCCTCTTTTTGCATTCTTTTAAAATTCATTTTTTTATGTCGAATTATGGGTTATATAATAAGTAATAGTCTTTTCCTTTCCAAACCTTTCTCCATCTATTCTAAATTTAAATTTAAGATATCTAACTTAAAGGCTTCTTAACCATTAGATGTCCCCTAGGGAACATTTCAATAACTCTTTTACATAAAGGAAAATTCAATTATCTTTTAGTGAAAAAAATAAAATTCAATTACAAATAGTTTTTTCTTTTAAAGAGTAATATAAGTAAATATATAATTTATCTCAAATCTTTAATTTAAAGAAAAAATAAAAAGTGATAACTATTTTGGAACAGAGAGATTATTATTATTACTTTTTTCTTTTTTTTCCATATGCTATTCCATGTTATTATTATGCAATTACAAATGAAACATCTCTTTGTTATTTTTTTAGGAAAAAAATAATTTTTTATTTTTAAATATATGGTAAAGAATCCAAAATTTTCTATTAAATAATTTGTATTATGGCTTAACAAATTTTTGTTAAAAAAAAAAAGAAAAGAAAAAAGTTACTAACACATTAATAACAAAATGAAAATGAAATAAACAAGTTATTGTTCAAATTGAACATAAAAAAGGTTAATGTAAAAACTGGAAGGGGCCCGGTTAACTAACATCTTAAGCCTGTATTCTATAGTATGTTAAATTTGAAGAAAATGGAGGAAAGGAAAGGGATGAATTTTTTTATCAATCTGATTATAATATTAGAAAATGTTATAATTTGTTTGGTTAAAATATTCATCCTTCCTCTTTGTTACCCTTAAACCAAACATCTTCTTAAACTTAGTTATTTTAGAGGTAAATTTAGCAAGATAATTTAAAGTTTAAAATTTGCCTATAGTTTGGAACAAAGAACCTACTTTAAAGAAACTTTTTCAATTTACTAGTGGATTGGACTGTAATTATTATTATTAAATAATTAGTCACTTATGAGTTGCATGTTTAAAATTCAAAAATGATATATTTTTACAATCAACACATATTATTATATCTTTTTTATAAAAAAAATTATCAATTTAAAGTACAATGAATATATCAACTCACATATAGTGGCTTAAGTTTTTACCTTTTAAACATTTTAATTTCAATAAAATTTAGATATTTAATTCGTAATAAGGTTGGTGAATTGGTGGGATGGGATTCAGTGCGTGGATGGACTTTGATGGCACTTAAGGTCCCTTTGCTTTTGGCATGTGTTTGGTTACAACAACATTATAGCGCTGTTGGAGAGATTTAGGTCATCTCAAGGTTTAGGCTATTGCACACTCTTCAAGCTTCTATATATATCTATACAGCTTGTATTAATCTCATAATTTCGCAACAGCATGTCACTTGTATTACTTAGAGTAAGAAAGGATTTTTTGACAACACTCTCTTCTATTGAAGAGTAAGTGCTTGGAATGAGGAGATAAGAAAATGTTGTAAGGAACCTGAAAATCAACGAGGGATTCCTGGAAATGGCTTAGAACAAAGATGCCCTAGAAGCACTTCTAGGACTTTCTCATAATTATATTTTTGGTATTAATCTTTCAGTACTTGAAAGTCACATTAAATTTTGATTAATCTAAAATCAAATTACGTCAAACCCCATAATGGAAAAACTCTCCTAACATTTGTTTCTCCATTTATAAGACTTGAATTTGAAATCTTATTTAAAAGTGAACCGAGTTCTTTCTATTTAGATTAATAAGTCGTTTGTAGGACTTTCTCAAAACTATGTACCAAAAAAACAGTAAAGTAAGCAAGAGATTAAGGGCAAAATGTAAACAATGCAGAAAGATGAATTAACATGAAAGTAAATTAAAACTAAGTGAATCAAGCTTGTATTTTTATTGTTTAGCACATCATCAAACATATCCACTTAAAAAAAATAATAAAAAAAATTAAATAAATTGATACATATAATATCATGTATTCCACTCAAATTAAAAGAGTTGATAAAAATTACTTCACATTTGTAAGATTTTACTAGAAGATTTCCATTGTCAATAAATCATTTTTCAAGAATTAAAAATATACATATTTATTTTTATCAACAAAAAATGCAATCTTTCATTAAAGGAAATAGTAAACCCTCAGAAGGAAGCTGATAACCAATGTTTAGTAAATTCATGAATGACATTGATTCTCATCAAAAGGAAAAAAAAAAAAGAATAACATTAATACTCCCTTTGTTTTTTTAGGTATCTCAATCCTTCAACTTTATATAAATTAACATGATAATTTTATATAATAAATAAATAATAATTGAAAACATTTAATGTAAATGAAAATACCAATTAAAGATTGAGGATAATGTGTTTTGGTTCTGATTTAAAAAAAAATTAAAGTCACAATCTATATTTAAAAATTAAAATTTCAATTTAAAATTTAAAAATCTAATTAGATTCTAAATTTAAATATCAATATTTAATAAAATAAAATTTTAAATTTTAAATCAAATTTTAATTAAATAAAATGATATAGTTTAAAGTTAAAATTTCAAGTTTTTTAGACTCAAAACTAATATATATTTTTTCTTTTAGTATAGAAAAAAATTTAATTATTATTTATTTATTATAAAAATTATTTAATTAAATTTTAAATAAAAATTAAATTAGGACAACCACATTCCACGAAGGAAGTAATAATTAAGGCGGCTGACAATTCATTCCTAATATCCATCCAGCACAAGAAATCTACCATAACACATGCATTTTCTACGTAGGTAGCCTCGCCTAGATGCGTTGCGGGTCCCGTTCGTTTCCCCGTATCCTTTAAGCAAAGACGTTGGACTCATCTAACTGAAAATGACCACAACCACGTAATGTGCATTCATTTTATTTCTTCTCCAATTTATAACATATTCTTCATAAGTTGCCGAAAATACGAAAGAAATCAAAATAATAAAAAAAAACAAAAAAAAAAAAAATTCAAAATAATCGATCATGCCGTAAGATCAGGGGGATCTTGGTAGCTTTTATGCCACGATAGCACCCATTTTATAGATGAGACTGACAATTAGAAATTTGTAATGTTCTAAAACGGTAAAACCTCAATTGCTTACTGTGATCAATATAAATATAAAGAGGTATTTACCCCCAAAAAAATCAATATAAAGGGATGATACTCTTGTGTGGATTTTGTAATTTGAACACAAAACATAAATTTAATCAATTAGTAATATGTGAATAAATTATTTTTATATTTGAGTCACATATATTTCTTATTATATATCAACATATGTTTTTACCACATAGATGTATAAAGAATGGTGCATTTTCAAAAAAAATTAGAATTCAAATATTAAATGATATCGTTTCATTTAATTAAAACTTAATTTAAAATTTAAAAATTCATTTTATTAAATAATTATACATGAATTTGGAAACAAATTATATTAAAATATATAATCATTTTCTAAATAAAAATATTAATATTTAAAAGGTGGATTTTAATTTTTGAATTGAGTTTTAATTAAATGAAACGTTATTTGGAATTTGGATTGATATGCACTATATATATACTCACTCTGTTAATTTTTATTAGATCTAATTTAACTTTTTAATTTTTTATATATAAATTTCAAATAAAAATTTAACAATTTATATAAACAATAATTAAAAAGTTTTTTCTTCTTACATAAAGTTCTTACTAAGTACTTTTATTTGATTAAAAAAAATTTCAATTATTATTTATATAGTAGGTTAAATTTTCATTTAAAATTCATGTCTAAAAAATCAAAAAGTCAAAGTAAATCTACTAAAAATGAATGAAGTTTGAATTAACATACATTTATACATAAGTTTTACCACTACAAGAAAACTCATTATCACCGACCAAAAATCACCGACATGGAAAACATTAGTCGGTAAATGAATCACTTACCGACAAAAATCATGTCTGA